ACCAGTCAACTTGCTTTCTACTGAAAGTGAAGCGTTGTTACTGCCTTTGAATGCTTTCTAAAATAGATGCTTCTAATGCTTCATAGGAGATGTCCTGATCTTCCTATCTTCTGCTAGCAGAGATGACACCTACCAGAAGAGATTTTCTATGACAAGTACGATAAGGAACAAATGGCCATAGGTGGAAAGGATTATGAAGTTCATATGTTTCCTTAAGCAAAAAGAGCCTTGTCTGGGGGAGAATTTATAATCAAGCCCTTAGGAAATCTCAGTGTTCCCTGATGAGAAAAAAGCTAATGTCTCTCCATTAGCAGTGAAGATGGTTAACAAATGCACATTAGCAGAACGAGCTGTCAGTCCATCTGTTCTTAAGTTTCAAGGCACACCTGAAAACCACTGGAAGTTGAGTTTCAAAGAGTGAAAAGGACTTACCCTGAGTGCAAATGAGTAGTAATTGGCTTAGGTAGCTGTACAGATTCATCTTATGGACTTATTACCATCATATTACTACCAGAGAGAAGTGAAACTGCTGTACAACAGAGACCTCTCCAACAGCCGAAATGGGAGATGAAAAGAGAAGATGCAGATGGAAGGGGCATACAGATTCTGTGGGGTCAGGTTTCAGACTCTAAGGAGGTGTCTTGCGCTTCTGGCTTGAAACAGAGAAAATGCTCTGGAACTAAAATTGTCTTAGTTATGCCAGTATAATCACATTTGCTTTGTCCGTATCTCATCTTACCATCATGAGAGCTCCCGGAAGAAGTGTGACAAGAAAGAAAGTGTATGCCAGCCTCACGTGAGATAGGAGCATGATGCATTTCTGACTGCTTGCAGCTCCGTATAATGATGAGTAACTTAATCTCTGTGAAAGGCCAGAGGCTTTCTGTGAGGAAATTGTCCCATTGACTCTCCCACGTAGGACAGAAGCCATCAGGATGTCAACAGTGAGAGGACACTCATCTCTGCCTACACTGCAGAAATCCTGTTACCTATGAACGCAAGAATAAAAAGGCTGGGAGAAATGTTGCTTGCACAGAAGTAGGATGGCGTATCAGTAGAGTACTAACTTGCTGAAGCCATATCTGCATATACTGCAGGTAAAATCAGATGAAGAGTGGCCCCTAAGTGCATACCAGCACATGTTCCAGCACATGTTCCAGCACAGCTAAGCAGGCCCTTACAGGCAAAATGGGACAAACCTTTAGAAACAGCAGAACCTGCCTGAAATGTCTGGTCATCCTTGGAATGACTGAGTCTGACATGGCTTCCATGGATCCCAGAACCTATACTAGAGTTAGGTGAGAATTTTGCATTGTCACCAAGTCTTTCAGGGCACAGGCAGCTGAAGAGTAAGTCACCGTTTCTGGGGTAGTTGCCTTTCAGCAGCCAGACAACAAGATATGGAGAGAGGACTGCCCAATTACAGCCGACATTTGCAGCCCCTGCTGTTAGTATTTTTGTAGAAGGCCTTGGAGTGTTGGGAAGACAGAAGGGAAGAACCTTCTTTTGGAAGTGATTGTAAATACTCTATGATTGAAATATATCCTATATGTTTCACATGTTTGTGATGTGAAAATGTGTGTTCAGAAAGGCAAGAGTCAGGAATCAAGTTCTCTGCTGTAGCATTGATACTATTTATAATGACACCTCAGCTATTATCATAGTGCTAAATTTGAACTTGCAATTAGAGGCATTCAGTTTCCTCAAATCTAGGGTGAGCCACTATCCTCCATTCTTCTCTGTCATCACAAAATAGCCACTACGAAACCACTTGCCTCCGAGGTGGGAGGGAACCAGTCTGAGGTTCCTAGATCTAACAAGTAACTGCTGCCCACTAATGCAAGGCTCTTGTTCTTTCAAGGACTATATATTCTCTAGAAAAGCGCAGAGAAGCTGAGATGTGGGAAGTGAGGAAGAAAATAAATGGGATACTGTGCTCCCTGGTGACCATATCCAATACCCTTGTTGGATGTAATCCATCTCCCAGGGTGATAGGCTGACACAGAGGAAGGAGAGAAAGAGTTGGCGGAGGTGGAAGTCTTAGCAATCTTCTCTACAAATAACAATTAATGCTGCGTCCTTCAGTTTTTCACTAATAAAAAGCATGTCCTGACTTAGAATTTTTCTTCTGGCTCCTTTTTGAATCCTCTTCAGTTTCTCAGTCTCCTTTTTTTAGAGTGCTAGCCAATTTTTAATCCATGGAAGATGAGCTACACTAATTTTCAAAAGTGTTAAATTTTTAGTAAGAAATTTTTGTGGAGCTAAATGTGATGGTCTGCAGAAGTCTGAGGCTGTCATGTCAACACAACTACCTTTGGCAACTGGCCTCAAAAAAAAAAAAAAAAGCTTTCTGGCGCATCAGAGATTAGTCATTCAACTTGAGAAGTGGCATGTGCATTTTCAAAGTGCTCAGGACTTCGAATGGTATTTTAGATGTTCAAAGGTCAGTACAGATCTTGATTAGCACATCTTCAAAATGTCAGTGAGAGACAGATGAGGAACTGTCAGTATTTGAATTCCATTACAGTGGAAAGCAAAATAGCACGGTTGGCTGATTTCATTATAATAGTCACCACCTGAAACAATGATATATGTTTTATCAGACTTCAATGAAGCACACAGAAAATGAAGAATCTGCAATGATGATTCTTTCTAAAACTGTAATGTGTATGACATCATGAAGCTAACCCATGGAGCTGACAAGCATGCAGTTCAGTTCTTCCAGGCAGCATTCAATTACCTTGAATTCAAAACTATAGCTTCCATTCTTCAAATTTGCTCTATCACTTTATTTTTTTTTTCATTGCGTACATGAGGAAGAAGTCAGCACATATCCAAAGCTGAATAGCTCCCATTGTGTTTTGCATGTTTTATGTACTTTCATTATTTACTGTATGTGAACAGGCAGTAAAAGACTTTTTGTAATTACAGCTAACCATAATTCTAATATGTCTCAACTTTCAAGCATTTGACTCTGCACCTTGGTATCCCAGTGTGGTATTATATGTTATGTCTCAAGTCTGAGGTATACTTGCTACTAGTCTGAGGTATATTTTGCTACTTGGGAAGAGTTAGAATTCTTACCTGGAGTCAGAGATGCAATATAGTTTGCCCCTTGGGCAATCTGTGTATTTTTAAGATCCGTCAAAAGCCTTGTTCAGAAAATAAAACAAAATTTCCACAAGTATGCTCACAACTTATTTGCGATTTGAAAAGTCCACATAACTGAAGTTCGTGCTTTATTGCAGTATTTCACTGACAAGAAATATGTTTTTCTTATCCATTTCAGGAGCCTTCATGATCCCATTCCTGATTTTGCTAGTTCTGGAGGGTATCCCATTGCTTCATCTTGAGTTTGCCATTGGTCAAAGGCTGAGAAAAGGCAGTGTGGGAGTCTGGAGTTTGACCCATCCTACTCTGAAAGGCATTGGTAAGTCTGAAGATGATATAAAAAAACCCAAACCAGAAAGCACGAGTCTGAATTGATAATGTTAAGAGTAAAGCTTCAGTATTTTATCCTGGTGCACCATGAAAGATTCCAGGTTCTATCACTTTTGCCTTCTCACTAGCTGTCCTTTTATAGCTCAGACTTATCATGATAAGAAACTATGGCAGTTTTGTGTCTGGGTCCCTAGGTACTGTTGGGACCCCTAAAACATTTCTCTAATTGGAAAGCAATTCAGGCTTCACAGATATCATCGGTATTTTCAGCACTGACTGTCTTTACCATTAGGATGAACAGTTAAGTGTACCCATAACTTGTTCAGTAGCTGTTCTGTGGATAAATACCAGAGTTGAATCTTTCTCTATGTTGGTCTACTGGACTTCAGTTTTGTGGAGTATTGCTTTCTTACCTCTGAGAGAGGTACCTGGTTAAAAGTCATAGAGAAAGAATATTTTGTGGAAAATGCTTGTTAACATCTGTGTAAGACTTAGGGGTTCTCAATTATTCAGCCTGACAATGTAGTGAAAGCAGCATCATGCACATAGCATTAAAAACCCTGCAGATGCCACACATTTGAAAGGGAAAAAAATGTAGTCAGCTAGGACTGCTTGCTGATGGCATCAACTGCATCTATAAATCACTTACAAAGGATATTCTTCCATTGCATCTGGATTTTTGCAAGCTTCTGCACCTAAGAGCCTTCAGGAGCTAATCATTAGCATCTCCTGTCCACCACAGAAGTCACCAGAGGTTGACTACTGTGGAGCAAGTGGAGAAGGAGAAGTATCTGCCTGCATCCTATAGCTCTTCTCAGACCCTGCCTCCTGGCCACTGCCCCTCCCATTGCACGCAGAATAGCCAAGCGCCTCTGCTAACCTCTGCAGTGACCCTATGGAAAGGGAAGACAAGCTCGGTCTCATTTAGGCAAAATCCCAAGTCAGCTGAGCTCTACATGTCGCCAAAACTCCCCATAAGCAGTGAGCAAGACTGTGAACAGGATGTGTAGCATCCATCTGCACCCGTAACGTTGGCTCCTGCACCCACTGTCAGCTTCAGTCTCAGAGTGGTTTTAGGCTGTCTGCCTATGTGGAACTGACTAGTCTGATCTCTATGTAATGAATTTATAGGGATAAAGCCTACACCCAAAAGAAACTCAGTGATTTTTCTGACCGGCTTGCAAATAGCAAAGAAGCTGAATGGGCCACTTCTGTGTTATGATCACATGAGAGAGCTGGGAATTGCAGCTCAGCCCTCTGTTCCGAACCTTAACGCCTGATGATAGAGCCATTCTCTAAGTTAGGCTGAAAACATTCAAGAAAACGATGAGGAGATATTTTTCCAGTCACGTCACCTTCCGGGACCATCAGCCCAGGGCAGCGTGCAGCAGGACACAGCCTGAAACAGATATAGGGCAGAGAGGAGAAGAAGGGCAAAGGCATAAACCATGGAAGTAGGTCAGTGAGGATGGCAGGGAAAGGCTGGGGACCGACAGCACGGGGCTCGTGCCGTGATGCACACTCCCACCCAGAACTGGGGCTTCAGCACCGGTCCCGTGGGTAGTGACTGCGCCCCACTGCAGGCACTGAAAGAGGGAGTGTTAAATCCGGCCTTGCAGTTCATTCCTTTGAAGCTTCAGCTTTCTTTTTTTAACATATTTTGGAGAGGGAGAGACATAAAAGCATGTTACTTTGTATTGGCAGTACAAGGACAGCATATATTTTCATAGCCTTAAAATCAAATTCCTCATTCTCAAATTTCTCCTCAGTATTCATATATCGGGTTGGACTCAGCTGGGCTGATGTGAGTTTTTATAATTTCTTCTGGTTTTTTTTCTTCATATAGTTTAATATGTCTTGAAGTGTATGGAAACTGACATCACATCACTTAATGTCACTGAATTTCATTTTTTTTTAGGCATAGCAGCAATGCTTGTATCCTTCCTTGTGGGTTTATACTATAACACTATTATTGCCTGGGTACTGTGGTATTTCTTCAACTCCTTCCAAGAGCCCCTGCCTTGGAGCAGCTGTCCTCTCAATGCCAACAGAACAGGTATACGTTAAAAAACACTGCATTTGGTTGCAAAGCACGTTTTTTATTGCTAGCAATTAGCCTAACTAGAACTCTTTCTGTAAAACAGCAGTAAAGCATGTCAGAACCATTGTGCTGTTGTACTACTCGAGTTTTATTGATTTTAATATCAATACTTAATACTGTCTTTGAGACAAATTTGGAGATTCCGATGAAACTTTGGAGTTGAAGCTATAAGAACAATTTGGACAGATGAATTTCTTCACATACAGAATATTCTCAAAGTGCGAGTTTCAGAGTACACACTAACATTTTCCAGATTTAGATAATATGTTTCTTCACAACTTACACGTCGGGCTGAGTGAGGCATTGTTGAAAAGCACGTCCATGGTTCCTACGAGAGCTATCAATGTTAGCGCTAAAGAGTCACATTTCCTCACGCACATAGTGTGAAATGGCAAAATAAATCCATCAACGATTTTATTTAGATCAGTTTAAAATGGTGCCGAGAGTTTCAAAGCTAGCTGGGACTTGAAAGGGTGTCTCAAGATTGCGCTTTGAGCGCTCCAGTCCATCTGAATAGACAAAAATGGAAAATATTTATATAAAATATGAAAGAAAATGTAAAGTTTTTGTCTATATCAAAGAGAGATGCTTCTACTTAAAACAAAAAAATCCTTTTATTTTGATCCATGCTCAGAAATCCTCTCCACCCTTCCCTTTGCACAAGATGCTTCCATCTTCACATTTTTGTAGGAAAAAGAAAAATGAAACAGATGGAAAAGAGTTTTGGATTAGCTTCAAAGATATTATCTGCATGGTTGAACTGATAAAAATAAAAATGAAATCTGCATGGAAATCCCTGTTAAACAAATCTCTTTAAACTCTCGCATTTTTCCATGAAGCAGCCTCTAGGAATCTGAAATTTGCCAACAGCAAATTCATTGGGGTTACAGAGCATAATCCGGAACACTACTGTTAATTATTTAACATGTTTTTTTTTTCCCAGTAAATAAAAGATATACAGCATTACGGTAATTTTGTGTTACAGATTACATAGAAGAGTGTGCCAGGAGCTCTCCTGTAGATTATTTCTGGTACCGAGAAACGTTAAATATCTCTGCATCTATTAACGATTCAGGCACTATACAGTGGTGGCTTTTGCTGTGTTTGACATGCGCGTGGGGTATACTGTATGTGTGCACAATCAGAGGCATTGAAACCACAGGAAAGGTAATTTGTTTTATACGAGAGAGAGATAACATTCATTATGCTGTTGTGATTCCTTGTTTATACAGACCTAATCATACTATAGAAACCGCCTGTTTCTCGAGTAAAAGCATGGCTCGCTGAATGGACAGGAATTTGATTTGATCTGATTTGATTTACGTGCGCATTTGTGTGAGCAGTTCAGATTCCTCATCCTTACAGAGCCTAGTAGGTTCTTCTTTAGGTACCACCACCTCACCCCTAATGGTAATCTTTAATGCAGGATCAAGGTGCTCAGTCTTTTTGCTATAGCCACTTTCTCCAGAACAGACATGCACAGATTTATTTGGATTTTTGTGCTAATCCCTAATATTGTCTCTCTTACCCACGTTCTGCTGTCTGGAGATGCCAGTGAGATCCGGCACTTGCATCAGCAGCATCAGGGTGATCTCAGGATGTACATTATTTCTTATGTTGCTAGTGACACTGACTGAATGATGAGTTGCATTTCACCAGTGACAATTTGTCTTAAATGGAGCACTAAGCGTAAAAATGTATTTTATCAAAATGTACTGCATGTAGTTTTTCAACGTGGTTTTCCACAGTATGTTAACTGTGACTTATTCGAAACTTGCCATTATTGTTTATCGGTTAATTCATTCTTTCCTCTCCTTGTTTCCCTCTGTGCTATTTTTCTTGAAGTGTTCCATTTTACTTAGTGTTTTATTTACCTGTTCCTTGTGCAGGCTGTATACATAACATCAACTCTTCCTTACCTTGTGCTTACCATTTTTCTAATCCGTGGCCTGACCCTGAAAGGATCTGTCAATGGAATTGTGTATCTCTTCACTCCTAATGTAAGTCACTCGTTACTTTATCCCTTAATGAAACTACTATATACTTCTGTCTGCAGCTGACAATTCAGTGGAAATGAATCCCTTCCAGCAATACTTTTAAAACTATCCTTGAGATGTCTTTAAAATCTTGATTCTAATGGGCAAGTCCTTCTTTGCATCATATGCAAAAAACACATGCATGCACATGTGCATCCACACACACACACACACACACACTCACACTCTCTCTCTCCCTCTCTCTCTCCCCCATCAAAATTTGTTATGAGAAACGGGTCCTGTATGGAGCTGTTACCAAGGCGCTTGCATTCTTCTTCTAGAACGTCCCATATTCTAGTAAAGGACGAGTCTGACTTTCAAGCACAAGTGGTATAGTTGGGAATACACCCCATTTAATCAGTGTAGCTACATGGACAAAAGCCTACTAAAATGGTTTAATTGTAGAAAAATTTCTTAGCAAAATTGAAAGGAGTTTCCTTTTCCATGAGAAGACCTATGAATGCTTCCTAATAATGCCAAATAACAAACATATTTTCTGGAAATAGGCTTTGTAAGTGCTGGCACTATGTGTAAGTGCTGGAACTATGGAAAGTCATGTTTTAACCAATTTTCAAAATACTAGTTTTCTACACTGCATAACATTATCATACTGGTACATTTTCTTTCTGAAAGAAATTAAGTTTGACAGGAATACTGACCTATTTGTTAACAGCCTTGAAAAGTGGTGAATTCTGCAAGGTAAATGGCCTTGTTTTAACCACTGTGTTAAATTCCTCATATTCAATCTAAATAGTGATGTTATATACGCTTAAAGCCATATCTCTGCTGCCTCAGGTTACCGAGCTGGCTAATCCAGTGACGTGGCTGGATGCGGGTGCTCAAGTGTTTTACTCTTTCTCCCTGGCCTTTGGAGGCCTCATCTCTTTCTCCAGTTACAACTCTGTTCAGTAAGTAGCCAGGCAAAAGCCAAATTTCCATATGAATGTTTCAGTTTCAGCTCAGGTCCGACCACACTTTGTTGGCATTTCAGTCACAGATGTAATTTTCTGCTACCGCTCTTGGTTTTAGGTGTTTTTCCAAAGTTCATCTGGAACTTTGGGTGCCTGTGAGTCTCAGTGCATGACGACATGCCATACTTTAGGCCTAAGTCAGTGTTCCCACAACCGTGAGGAGCAGGGATGAGAATTTTCAGCTTCTTTCCCTAAGATACACAAAAAAAGGAGCAGTCTATTCCTGCCTTTCCAGCACATAAGGACTATGACCCTAGGACACCGTCCTTCAATTCCAACAAGTTTATTATTTAATGAGGAAGCTGACAGGACCTCGTGAAATTTCCATGAAGGAGATATAAGAAAAAAACGTGTAGATTCCATAATGTTACTCTGCGGTGTGGGAGCACTTGCAGTCCTAAAAAAAAAATTTTACTGAAGTTACACCAATACTGAGAGCACCAGCTTCAAATGATCCGTTGGCAGTTGGAACCAGCTGTGAGGTAGGAGTGACTCTGCTTTCACATGGTTTGGGATGGCAACAATCTCACTAAATACTGTGAGGTTTCAAAGCCATCAGGGATTCATCTATTCATAACAAAGAGAAATTTGAGCCTTTTACTATCTGTGAAAGGAAGTAATATTTTTATAGAGACTGTCTGTGAGCATCTTCTTATGTTACCGTGAAAAAACACCCACAGTTCAGTGAAGAATTTCAATTTATTGCCCTCCCCCCAGGGCAGACCTTTCTGGAACACCACAAATCAGGAAAAGCCATGGTGTCAGAGGTCTTTGCTGGACATGCTTTCCTTTCTCCGTTTCTTAAAGCTGACCAGAAAGTTAGTTATGACAACATCAGATTCATCCTCAATAGTCTGCTCATAACCTAGAAAAATGTGATATCTAGAGCTTCACAGACTTCTCATAAAACCATATACTAATTTAATATTGATTCTTAATCATCTTCTCTGTCAGATGAAGGTCTCTTTCTGGATCTGAAAATTTTCCATCTTAGCACAGATACTTTGAGAAGAAGTCTCTACAGAAGAAAAGTCCCCCCCGAACAGTTTAGATTTCACGATGGAATAGATTACCCATTCAGTCTTATCAGAATAAAATTCCCATAGTATTTTCCCAACTTCAGGATATTTTGAAATATTTTTTGTCCAACAATCAAATAGAACTGTTCCAAAGCACTCTTGGCTACTACATCTTCACTGTAGCAGAGTCTTGTTTCTTCTTATGTTGTGCAAGTATAGGTTTGAAACATTTTTTAAGAGATTGCCTTCCAGTCCCTGCTGTTTTGATCACATATTTCTCCCAAACCGATGCAATCTTCTATATGCTCACTGTCCTTTCCCACCAGGAAGACAGCCTTCTTCCGGCTCAATAATATTACACAGACAAGGGAAGTTCTTACAGGAAAATAAGACTGAAACTCGAGGCAGGCCCCCTCCAGCAACGTAGCTCTATCACACAGCCCATCCTGATCCAAGAGTAGCAAGATGAGCATGGAATTAATTAAATTCAATGCACTGGGTGGGAAATGTTCACTAGTCAATAGAGACTGAGGACAGCAGGGTATGGCAATTATCATTCTCTAGTATGGAAACATTGTTTTTGCCCTTCCTGTTTTACCTTCCATGAACCAGGCTAGGAAAGAAGAGAGGAAATAATTCCTATGAGTAGGATCATTTAAGGAAAAAAAAAAGGATAGCTATTAAATTTTTAAGGCACAAGTATTAATTCACTAAGTCTGTCTTTATCAGCTGTACTTGTACACTCATAGAGAACATCATAGAAATGTACCTATGCATCTGCAGACTACCCTTTTGTTAATCTTGATGGCCAACTTTTAACATTTATTCTGAGAGTATGTTTGAAATTCATTGTTTCTTCTCTCTGAATTGCAGCAATAACTGTGAGAAAGATGCTCTGATTATCTCAGTGATCAATGGTTTCACATCCATTTATGCAGCAACCGTCATATACTCCATCATTGGATTCAGGGCCACAGAAAAATATGACAACTGTTTCAACAAGTAAGCTATTGAAGAAACAGAATATAGTGATGTTTGTTTGGCCAGGGCAGTTCTGTCAGCTTGGTAATAATGGCTCAGTCAGTCATTCATGAACAATTACAGGTCCTGATCCATATAGTGCCAGACCACCCATTACTTCGAAAAATCAAAATCACATTCAAGATGAATGGCTTTGATCATGTGAATTTCTGCAGTGTAACTATATTGTTCTAGATACACAAGGGATAGACTGATTTGGTGGTATCAACCTATAGGGAACGATTATTGTTTGAACAACTTATTTTCTACATAGATGATACATTATTTCCTGATGCCACCAAAAAGTAACAAGGGGGAAGGAGGATATTCCATTTCTGAATGTTTTTTCTTGAAACTGCTCTTTCAAATACAACTGCAGTTAATGTAACAATGTCTATTTACATAAAGGTAGATTCAGTTCTTGATCTATTAACTCAGTAAAATATGCTATAATATTTACAGAGGTACCATGCTTTGCAGAAATGTGTGTACTTACTTGGGTAGGGCAAAAGTTTCAGATCTGAGGCAAATTGGATTTTCCGTCACATATTAAAAAAAAAAAAAAGATAGCAGGCTGCTACTGCTGCTGCTACCCCTACTAGGGCTGATCTGAAACCCTCAAAGGCCTCTTGCCGGTCTTGACTACGCTATGTTGTCCTGCCTTGGAGATCTCTCACACTAGAGTGCCGCCCATTTTAACAAAGTTCCCTGTGAACCAGAAGCAGCGCTTGACAAAACCAAGCGGTTCTGAAAATCCCGCAGCATTGGCCACTTCTGGATTACAGCATAGATGCTAATTCCCTCACTGATGCTCTACCAACCACTGGAACATGCTCTAGAAATATTGCAACAAATTGCAGAATTAACAAAAATCACTGCCTGAAGCTGAGATAGGGCTTGAATGTGGCATGCCCTGCTCCCTGAATGTGGCATGCCCTGCTCCCTGCGTCAGCCCTGCGTTGAGGCTGCCTCCTGCAGAGCTTCAGTGCTTAGGTGTCTACCTTAATAGTGCAATTCAGACTCTCGCCTAATCTGGGCTGCCAGACCTGTCTACTTCCTCTGTATTCAGCTCTAGAAGTCCATGATGCGTAACTGCAGACACCTTGCCCGTTCCCAGAAACGTCCCAGTCTGAACTGCAGGGTGCACTGGCTGTGGTCTGTGCACTGAGAGACAGCTTCAGACTCAGCTTGGAAGAAGAAAGAAAGAGCTGTACATACGCAAAACTGCCGGGCTTCCTCACTTCCAAGTCTGAGCTGGAGCAGCAGAAACATTGCTTCCTTTGTATCTTCTTCATAAAAGACACTGTGCTCTTAATGACTGATGATGAAAACGAATACTGTGGTTGCTTACAAGTAAATAATTTCAAATTACTTCTATTTCATTTTTACAGAAATATTCTGACATTGATGAATGCATTTGATTTGCCCGAGGGTAATGTAACCCAAGAGAACTTTGAACAAATGCAGAAGCTGTGTAACATGACTGATCCAACGACCTTTGCAAGTCTTACGTTTGAATCCTGTAATCTCGAAAGTTTCTTGACTGATGTAAGTTTAACACATATCCACACAATTATTGTGGTAGGAATCCATAGCAATATTTACATGTTTAAGTTGCTTCATATTCTTCCTTAAGAAGGGTTTTTGTGATATTCATTATTTGCTGTTTGTTTGGAATGCCCTTGGATTAAAGGATTACTTTGTTTATCCCATGGGAAACCACTTAGCTTTTGAAGACAGAAACATAAATTTCCCTGAAAAGTATTGGCAGCCTCTCACACTATTAACTAAGCACGCAAGTGTTCTAGGCTGGCCTCATGTAGCTGGCAAAACAGCAGCAGGTACTCCTCTGGAAACAGCTGGGTGCAGCTGTGGTGGCAGAGAGAAAAAGACACAAAAACTAAGGAAGAAACTCCCAGAGTGAGGAAGCAATTGGAGCAAGCCCTCTCCCAGTCAGCATCCACGCGTCACCAAAAGAATGAACCTTGACAATGAAGAATTTGTGATAAAAATGTGTGTGTGTTTTTTTTTTTTTTTGGTTAAAAATGTGTGAAATTACGTATGAAAAGATGTGCTTATAAAACTTAGAGAATGTGCAGCCTTAGCTCTGACCCTTTAGATAGATGCACAGGGATAGAGGCTGCTCTACGTAACCATACACAATGTCTTACGTACAACTTGTTATTTTTAGTGCATCTGTTGGGGGAACAAATATACAAATTGGGAGACTTACCGCTGTGTTGACATTCATCAATCAGAAATCTTGAAACTCTGATTTTACATACTAAATGGTATTTTCATATCATTTCTCTTGCATACAACATGCATGTATATGAAACTGCTTTACTGAAATCATAACTCTAACTGTCTTTTTTTAAGTGTGATGCTTAAGTGCTCCCCCAGCAGCAATAAACCCTTTTTGGGGTTTATATTGCTCTCTGGCAAACAGCTTATCCTTAGGACCCTTTTCCACCAGAGTCTTATTTAGTTTATGGATGGCCGAACTATAACGTTAGGATAAGAAGGTAATCAAGCATCAAATGGTTCCATGTAGCTTTTTATTTTTTTTTGTCCCATTAAATTGAATTCATACGATATTTACAGTGAATATGTTGCTGCATTAGGAGGTCTTTGTGGAACCAAAAAGCCTAATTACCGCTGCAGAGTGTAGTGTACGCCAACGGCAATTTATGTATATGTAAGTTTGAATGCTGTATGTTAGTGAGCCTAATTTTTGGAATTTATGAAATCTTCCATAGGGAGTTGAAGGAACTGGCTTAGCCTTTATTGTCTTCACTGAAGCTATCACCAAAATGCCTGTCTCACCTTTGTGGTCCATCCTCTTCTTCATCATGCTCTTCTGCTTGGGTTTGTCATCTATGTTTGGAAATATGGAAGGGGTGCTCGTACCTTTACAAGATCTTAACCTTATACCCCCAAAATGGCCTAAGGAGCTTGTTACAGGTAGGTGCTTCATGCGAAACAAGTGATTCTCCTGGACAAGGAATAGCTTATATGCTAAAAATGCAGTATTAATCACATAGAATTACGGGTGAATTTGTCCTAAAGTTTTGGATAAAGGAACAAAAAAGGTAAAATATTGAAAAGACTTATTGAGAGAAACTTTCTTACTAGTTTCGTGCTTTATATGCATGAAATGACATATTTATCTTTGCTGTGCATTTGCTACTTTTTTTTTTTTTTTTTAAACAGGTCTGATTTGTGTGGGGTCTTACTTGTTAGCTGTTATTTTTGTGCTGGCGTCTGGAAATTACTGGTTGACTCTGTTTGACAATTTTGCTGGCTCTATTCCCTTGCTGATAATCGCATTTTGTGAGATGTTTTCAGTCGTCTACATTTATGGAATAGGCAGGTATGAAATACGTTAAGCATCACTAGAAACTAATGTATAAATTGATTAGCCCTGTAGCTGCAATCTTGTTTCATCTCCATGCACATCATTTCTGTCATATGAATCACTGGATTTATGCAACTGTAATTTAGGCTTACTTTCATGATCGAGGCTTCTAAAATTGTTCTTAACAAAACGAAAAGAAGCTTTGTTAAGAGTTTGGGGGGAGTTATTTTGTACATGAAAGCCGTCCACCTTTCTACTAATACATTATAGTAGATAATGCTCTATAACAATAAGCCAAAACAAACACATCTCCGAGGGACTGCAAGAGAACGTTAAATATTAGCAAGTGCCCTTGAATAGAATAATATGAATGTAAATATTTTATTTTTAAAGTATGTATCATAACATACACTTTTGCAGTAGTATAGATAAATGCCACTATAGCTCATTTACATTTTAAACACGGCAGAATTTACAATAAAATCTCTTCAGAATAGTTGCATAAAGTATTTAATTAGCAGAAGCAAAGTGCAAGCACATTGGCACTGAGCTGAAAGCTTAAAACACAGGTATATTCCAGGAATATTTAAAATGAATGCTCAACGATACTGGGCGAAGCAGGGAACAGCTCCAGGCCGACTGCAAACACTGTTTTAGAGCAGGATGCAAATCCAAGGCAGATACGTTCTGTCTTACATGATAGATTCAGGACTTTATCAATTCCAACTGTGAGTAATTATCCTATTAACTTCCTAGAGACATGTAATAAATCAATTCCCTCCATCTTTCTGTTCATAATTAATCTTTAAGAAATACGAGGGAATGCTGGGAACTTTAATCACCCTGAAGTTTTGCTTGAGTTTGTGTTAGCCCTCTAGCTGTGCTGCTCCTGGTGATAGGGTGAGTGCCCCTGTGGCAGGTATTGTCATACTTAAGAGTTTTATATTACGTGAGGAGGTATGAATCAACTTAGGCAAATCAGATGGCACAGCATAGGAAGGCCCCTAGTGAAAGAAGGCTTGTTTTTCGGTGTTGAGAATGGAAGAGTCCACGGCGATCACTTTTCTTTCCTTTTAAAATGTCAGACCACTTTACAAAGGCAAACTAAAACTATTCCCAGAATACAAACATGAGTCGAGGCTGCAGAGGGGTAGGGATTGATTTAGAAAAGGACTTCAAGACCTAACTTTAACGTTCCTGGCCAGTGCTTGGGTACAGGTCCCTGTAGCTGGCACCTAGGTTTCTTGCAGAGAGCTTAGAGACAGTGGGGCCCTTGGGAAGGCAGTGCAAGACAGGAACCATCGCAAGCCAGCAGGCTCAGTGAAAAAAAGCTGCTGAACACCAGCCAGGAGGGAAGAGTGAGGACTGGAGATGCTTTCAGCCTTCTTTCAGCATACGGCTTACTCACAGCTGCTTAAAGGTGGTGATATCTGCGCCAGATGAGATTCTGTGACCTTTTTATCAAAAACTGAGGAAAGGGTCACCGATAAAAAGATGCCTTTCCCTGCTTGAAAATCTGCATGTTATCCATGGCACTTTCCCACACGCTCTGCAGTAGGGACTGGGACATGGGACTCCTCTTTCCTCCTGCCTCAGCTCCTGCTCACTGTCCCAGGTTCTCTCCTGCCTCCAGAGTCTTGAGCCTTTCTTCGGATATGGCCCAGCCTCGGCAGGAGCCGTAGAGGATGCTCTGTCTGCCTCTTCCAGTACCGACAGATAGGGCAGAGCATGCTCCAAGGAGGGACAGAGTGAATTTACTCAGGGACAGGAAAGAAATGAATCTGAACGTCCTGCAGCACAGTGTTGTGTGGCCAGTGTTCACCACCACAACCTCACTGCATCCCCTTGACTGCTGGGTGGATTTTATGTGGAAATGCAATGCCGCATGCCTTCTCAGAGCCTGCTTCTGGCTGGCAATTTAGAAAGTTCTAACCTAAAAGATCTAATTCTGGATTGCTAATTAGATCCAAAATGAAGTTTATGTAGTTAGTTAGTTAGTTGTGTCAAAACTGATGTGTTTTTGTGCATGCCCGCAGGATAACGTTAGGTGCCTGGGGAACTGTAAGGGAAAAAAGGGGAGAGCCACATCTAGAGGTAAAGCAGGCAAGGGTTTTCAGGTGCTTAGCTTTGGATTTAGACTAATCCTCTCAAAATCCAACTTTATGCATGCAAATCAATCCTGAATTCAGTCTGGAATGGCCACAGTTTTGCTACTTCAAAATCTGGAACCTAAGCTAAGACACTTTTGGCTGGGTTTTCAGAAATAAAACACCCTCTGCTCCTGCTGAAGGCCACAGTTACCTCTAACTGGCTCCAACATTTTATGCTTATTTTCTGTTCAGATCACCTCCCAACACCTGAAAGCAACTGCAACAATTAACGTAGTAAATAAAGTATCACATAGTAAACTATTTCGCTTCATGCATAGCCCATTCTCAAAATTATATTTTTTTCACCTTTAAAATGACACCTAGACCTTAGGAATTAAGGATAAAAAGATTAAACAAATGCATACGGTAGTTGAGGCTCAGCTGAATTCTGCATGTTATTTATAGGTGTAGGACCAACTGAATAGCCCCCCCAGACTTACTGCCATGCTGGAAAGCCAGAAGAGAGGGCAGACAAAAAAAACCCCAAACTAATTCTTATTTAAGTAGCGTGTGCACACAGCGCTGTATCATATCTAGAGGTCATAAACTGGATCTGAAAGGAGTAGATCCATGTTAGGTCAGCACCGATGCAGACAATATTACTTTCAATGCAGGGACAGGTTCTGCCTGTGGAGTAATTTTGTCCCATTTTCCACTGTGTGATCTAAACATAACCAGAATAATACATTCTTAAGTGTCCTTACTGAGCATGCATGAAGTTAAATATTACTTTGGTACTCAACCTGAGAAAACCGGTAGAAAGCTAAATTAAGCAAACACTATGCTCAGAATCTAATTTTTAAAATTACTTCAATTTTACTCCTTTTTAATAATGTTTCATTCCTTCTAACTGATGCAGTTCCGAGATGCTTACAAAAAAAAAATCTGAAACAATACTATAGCATGTTAGAGACAAACTAACTCCTGTGCATTGACTCCTTCTTGCCAAAAATATTTTACATACCCTTTGCATAATTCTTGGAAGAAAGTACATTTCTAAAGACATTTTAAACATTCTTTTGGAAATTATGAACTGGAAATTTATAATATAGTTACAGTGATGTCTGTCTTAATTCAAAGTAATTAGGTCTAACTCCTGATGTTATTCCCAATCCTCAGTTCACACTGACGTTAACAAAGTTAGGTTTAGTTTAGACTTCCCTATGTACGAGCAGATGCTCTTGGATCCTGCACAGCTTTTATTGTCCTGAAATTTCTGCTTTTATTTCTAGGTTTAACAAGGATATTGAGTTCATGATCGGACACAAGCCCAATATTTTCTGGCAGACTACCTGGAGAGTTATCAGTCCTCTCATTATGTTAGTTATCTTCTTGTTTTATTTTGTGGTGAAAGTCAACGAGGAACTGCTCTACGGCACTTGGGATCCTAATTATGTAAGCACATAAAGCCAAAGTACTTATTTAGAATTATTTTATGTATTCTTCCTTAATGTAATAGACTAAATTACATTCATCTCCCACCTGTAACAGTTTTCAGAGGAAAAACTTATTAGAATACATAAAATTCTAATTAAAAAACACCACTTAGAAAAACTAGTCCTAAATTCAACTATAATGCCTAGAACTGAGAATCTTCTTTTTCTGAAGAGGACAAAACTGAAACATCAGAATTATTCCAGTTGTTGGGCAGGACTGAAAGAGGACCACTTATACAGATGTCAGTCCATAGCAGGGATTACAGAAGAGCTCAAAACGTCACAACTTTTCTGTGATGATAAAGGACCAAATGGGCCAAATCACTTCGATATTGTACTTATTTCTGTATGCATTTAGACTCACTGAACTGCAGTAGTGCTGGCTACTCATCAAACCAACAAAAGAAGTTAATAGTACCCTATCCAGCTTTCTTGTTTCCTCTTCCACATGTATTTGTATTATTTAAGTTATAATGACAGCAGTAAGTTAGTTACCTACTTTTGCTTTCTCCTCCTTCCAGAATAATAAGCCATATGTGGTACAGAGAAAGGTATATTAGAAAAAAATGTGGGTGCCATCATTTTCTCCACGACCCTACTTCTTCTCTGCCAGTCTAGCTCTGCTTTTTCATCCTCTGACCTGTTGGCATCCTTAAAGCAAAAAGCAGTCATACAGCACACTCAGTTTGTAACCACTGATTTTTATTTTCATAAGACAGTTAGAGAGGGAGATGCAAAGGGAGAGGAAAGAAGATGGGCAAATGGGACCACTTTCTTCTCCTCCTCTCCTCCCTCAGCATCCCCACCACCTTCTTCCTATCGGTCTCAGTACTCTGTTTCAGCATTCCCGCACCCTTTGATTTCAGCCCTTCCGCCCAAAGGCCGTTCTACCACCGAGCACGGATGGCCTATGCCCTGTCCCTCCCTACGCTCCTTTTGCCCAGGAAGTGTGCCAAGAACAGTCCCACCAGGCTCTGTTTCCCATTTCTGCTTCTTTCACACCATCTTTCCTCTCTCCGTTGCTTTTAAGAACAAACACATCCAAAAGAGCTGAGACTGCACACCCTTGAGAAGCAATGACTTTAGCTAGAAACTGCTGTAGAATTGGCAAGTTATTGCGCAGTTGTGGCTAGCTGCTGCTATGATTCCGTTTTTTATTCTGCTGAAGTACTGAACGTGTGCATGTTCCCAAGTATTTGCTTATCATGACTTCCTCCAACTTGGTTGTTTATTCCTGCAGGAAGACTTCCCCAAATCACAGAAGGTTGGATATCCCAATTGGGTGTACGTGATTATTGTAATCCTGGCTGGAGTGCCTAGTTTGGTCATCCCTGTCTTTGCCATCTACAAAGCCATTAGAAATTACTGTCAGAAAAAAAATGATCGCATGGGCCTTGTGACCTCCACGTCTGAGATTTCTGTAAATGGGAACTTAAAGAATTCAGCATAAAGCCCTTTAAAAAATGTGGAAGAATGCCTCGTTGGTGAGGAAAGGAAAAAGATTTTTTTTAAAGAATCAAGAGTAAATTTTGTTGTCATAAAAGGATAATGATGTGTTGTTTCCAGGTAAACATTTATGGAAAACACATATTTAACTAACAATGCAATGCGCTGTGAAGAGATAATAGCTTGGATCCTGGAAGCAAAACAGCCACATTTGCAACTGGATGGAGCTCTACACCAAATCGTTTATCCTACTTCTGGTTTCGAAGCCAGCTTGTTTAAACATGCTGGGAGTTCTCTACTGGGGGATGCACGGCACTGGACATACATAAGAGACTCTCCCATGTCCAACCATTCTGGTTGGGTGACTAATATGAAGGGTAGTTTTATACTGCCTTCTCTTGCACATTAAATTGTTTTTAACTTTATGTGCCACTTTGTTGCACAAAGCCACAAATATTGTCTCATACATAAGTTTAAAATATTTAATAAAAGCATTTCTAAGTATGAAAATAACACTTTGATTCATTTATAAATCTGGATATTTGATTAATTGCCTCTTACTTCCAAATTGCCAGCAGATAGCTCTGCTCTTGCTGATGACGTAAGAGTTAGCAAGGCAGCAGCAGTTCAGCAAGGGTAGTGAGAGTGGTGGTGGCGAGTACCCTGGCAGCAGTGATGGTGTGTAAGTGCTGTCAGCCACTTTGTGTGTGCCGACTTGTGCGTACCCTGAGAGATACCCTGATAAGGCACCAGGAAGCCAAGTTGCTCCACCTAGGACCTGCATGTTTGCAGAGCTGCAGGCAGATGGACTGCCCTTACTGGGGAGATTTATGTGGCCTAAACATGAAGTTGACTCCTGGCTGGATGACCTGCAACCTGAACATCTTTATAGGCTTAGCTACAGAGCAAGGCTTTATTTCTCTCTAAGTATTTTGCAAGAAAAATCCATCTTCAGTTAGATATTACTCCCATTTCAAGAAGGGGAATCCAGGCAAAGAGGGTTGATTTAATGAAGCAAGCAAGCTGACTGGCTAATCTATTTATTGTGGACTGAGATGGTTTGGAGTGCAAAGTAGCAAAACACTGGTATAACTGAAAGACAACAAAAATTGGTTCTAACACACTTGCATTAGAAGGAAAGCACTCAGCTGTTACATTCCTCAGTAACTATTTAATGAACAATAAAAATAGTCACTTGGGATTCACTGACAGGCAGGAAGTGATTAACCTCTAACAGTTATGGTGAAAGTGGATCAGATTCTAATGTCTGAATCTATATGGTCTTGTCAAGATCAGATCTTAGCTTGGTGTCTACTTGGGAACATAACTGAGATCAGTTTGAATTTTCATAGTGAAAGTTAAAATTTTTTATCTGTTTTCTAAGATGAAGATTAGATAACTGAATAGCTTCTTTGATAATTGACCAAACCAGAATTTCTGTCACAAATTCATAAAAATGAAATACCGAAAAAGCGCCTCTCAAAATATCAAATGCTATATGGATAAAAACAGTCCTCAAACTGTGTGCTGCACCTTTCAAATATTTTGAATTAGTTATATCCAAGGCTGTGAATTTTCGGGAAATGGAGAAGCGTGATGAAAGATAGCTCCTTTGTGTTTAGTGTGGCGCACATGGTCTGGAGAGCTCGATGCAGGAGAAGCCATGTGGTTACTCAGGCTCAAGTCATTCATGTCATGGCTGCCCATGTGGCCCTTGTGTCCAAATGGCAGCCCTCAGGACTGACAAAGAGCAACTGCAAATGTATCTATAAAAATACACCTTTATCGGGCTCTTACTGAGGCTTTAATATAACCAATGACCACTATGCAGCAATACAAGGGGTAGAAGACGGTTTAATCCAGTAAGAGATACATCTGATTAATTTTTCTTGCATTTTTTTACTTTATGCACATACAGAAGATGTCTTCAATCATTTAACTCTATTAACAAAGTAACAAAGGAAATGGGAACATTTTAGTCACAGATTTTTCTTTTTTTTTTTTTATAAGTATTTTACAATTTTAACCAGTCTGCTGTAAAGGGTTATTATTATTATTATTATTATTATTATCCATATCATACATCTTTTAAAGTATCTGAGAACATAAAGAAAACAGAAAATAAAAATCAGTTTGATCCTGAGTTACTGATTAACAACATATTCCCAAGTTCTCTAACTATAGAAGGAATTGCAAAAAGTCAGGAGTGGTAACTTTGTCCATATAATAATAATTCCTGGTTTTGTCTTTAAACTGCAGCTTTTAAAATAACACATGCCTTTGCATAACATAAAAAGCAAGCTCCACCTCTTTTTCCAGAATCCTTTCGTCACCTTGCATAAAACCTGTACGAGAGACAGGTTGTGAATCATATATATCTCCCCATTTATAAAGAAAGAGGCTAGAGAGCCAAGGATATTTCATAAGAATGTCGAAAGATTTTTCAGTCGATGTGCAACCTGAAAGCCTTAAAGAGGATGGCAGACCAAAGTGGGACAATAAGTTCCAGTACATTTTAAGCTGCATCGGATTTGCTGTCGGTTTGGGGAACGTGTGGCGATTTCCATACTTGTGTCAGATACATGGAGGCGGTAAGATGGAAATGGGACTTTGCCAAAATATTAGATTACAATTCTAATATAACTATACTAATTTATGATGGGCATGGAAGTTGCGCGCTTAGATCACGTTATTTTTTGACTTTTGAATTCTCACAAATGTCTTGCAAACCCTTTTTCTCCAGATAGATTAGCTTTTCCTATATGAATATATTTCCTTTTCTTTAGGAAATAAGACCAAATGGATGATAACTTTCAGCAAAACCAGTGTTAAAGTTCTTATAGCACTGTTGCAGTTTTGATGGGAGGGGGGAATTGAACTTTCAGCTTATTAGCTTAAGGAAAAGGAAGAAGTCCTGGGAAGGACTCAGTGAGGCAGTTCCCCAAATAAATGAAAGCTGAATTGCCTTTTAGGAGAGTGGAAAGGTCATTTCCTCTGATGCTTTCAGAAGTTACTCCGTAATCTAGAACTGCCACTGAACAAAACTAAACTATACCTTACTATGACTGTGAAGATAGCTTAAAAGCCTAGCTGATATCATATAAACATGAAAATGCAAGGGGATGCCGACAGCTGTTTAAGCCGTTCACTTAGCACCATAAAATAGTCTGGCAAAAAATTACTTTAGGAGCAACTTAGCAAATGTAAATGGATCAGAAAAGAGTAATTGATAGGTCAGATACATGGAGGCGGTAACCGATAGTAGCTTTTGAGGTCTGCCACGATAAACTCTCTAAAGCAGAATGATATAGCAAACTCTTTTGGCCAGTATGATTCATTATTTTTCAATTCACTGGAGAAGTATAAAATTCAGACCTGGAAAAACTTACAAATGTCAGGAAACTTAGTCAAATCCAAGACTGTTCTACCAAGTGATCTGTATTACTTGGTGAACCACAACTATTTGAATCAGCCAAGGAACCAAGAATAGATTCTGTCTTTAATAGGTGTACTTCTCTTCCCTGAGAAGTACAGCTATATTCTCCTCCTGCTGGGGTTTGATCTGTCCCCTCTGTCCCTCCCTCCAGGGGTCCCCTGCATCCTTGCTCAACAAACCTCTACCACCGCAGCAAAAGTGTGTGTCTGAGGGCAAAGTGACTACAGCTGACCTTCCTTATGGATAGCACAGTGCTTGCTCTGTTTGCTTGCATATTGTACATAATGTGTAAGATGTTCACAGCTCACCAGGCAGGCTTACCTCAGCAGGTGGGAATCTTCTGCCTAGACGGAATATGCTGATCCAGCCTGGAGCTTCTGAATCACTGGTACATCCCACAGCAACTGCTAGGGACAAAGCAGATAGGTTTTAGAATTGTTTTAAAGTTATTAAACATAGGGAAATGCTATGAGGGCAAAGGTTGAATAATTGTTTTGCACCTTGGTTAGTAATTTTACCAGAGAAAAAATGTATAAAAAATGTATATTGTACAGTCAGTTTATACTGACTGTATAAAACAGTCAGTAGATTCAGTAATGCTTTATAACTACTTGCAGTGCTGCAAACAGTTGCACAAGAGAGTGTTGAATTAAGGTCAATGAACTGATCTATGGTGAATGTTTGGTCGCCACATTTTAAGAGAGGGTTAAGATGATGGACAGCATGATGGACTCTATAGTACAATGCTAACAAAATTATTTGGGTTTTGTGAATATTTATCCTGGAAAGTAGGTGTTAGAAGAATTTGAGTGAGTCATGAATACTACCAAGAAGACAAAGCTATTTGGTTACCAGGTATATAATGCGGTTGTATTTTTCCTCTGCAAATTTCAGGCAGTGATGCGATGTGGGGTTGCATTTCCGAAAGCAAACAACTCAGACGCACAATCCCAACAGGGGTGCACGTGTACTGGAGGATAAATCCTGCCTGTGTGCACCTGAGGACATGAACAAGGGATAGACCACAAGTGCTGTGGTTAACCAGGAGCCCTGCCTGGGAAGCGATGTGACTTGGTGCCTGAGCCATAGCCAGGAGTGCAAAACCTAGTGTGCAAAAGGCACAGACATACTCTAAGGCTGAATAGCTTCTGAAGTGCGGACCACAGTTTTACAGCAGTTTCAGAGTTAGGCAATGCATCTTTCCCTTTTCTAAATCTTTCAAACAAGAGACAAAACTAAGTGCTTGTGTATTTGTTTCATGTCAGCTGCTTCTCATCAGACCTCTGAACCTTATTCATCGCACATTAGTGTTACTCAGTAACTTGGGTCTAAAATAATATCAGTTTTGCTGACAGTTATCACCTGCTGTCGTTACTGATTATTTGGATTTATTGCCTGAGTTAAGTTAGTTATTTACTTTGCATGACTAATGCATATGAAGGTTGTTTGCCACAGTAAGTGGAGGAAAACAGCAATGTTCCCTGGCAACTCAAACTGTAAAATAAGTTTCTAAAGGGCTTAGTATATATTTTGGCACTTAAAACTGAGATTCAAATAACTTACATACA